GCCCCTGCCCCTGCCCCGGTCCTCTCCAACCCCCCCTGCGCTTCTGCTTTTTTCAGGGTGGCAGCGGAGAACGATTTCCTTCACAGCCTGATCAAGAAAGCGGTGGAGGGGAAGGAGATCAACCACAAAGGCCAAGGTACTGGCGGCCCGGGGCGCTTCCCACCTGCTGTGGCCTGCGTGTCTGCCTGTCCCCCGCACCGCGCCGTCTTCTGCCTCCTGTGCAAATGCAATAGCGAAGGGCTTAATGGAGCGCCGGGACTCAGGGAAGGTGTCCACACTCCGGTGCGGGGCTTTCTTCCCCAGGGCTAGACTTGAGGAACAGGGATGTGGGCATTTGACTTTCGAGAGGTGCTTGCAGTGGAAAGGGAAGGCTTAGCGGTGCTTCCCCAGGGGCGCGCACCCAGGATCTACCTGACCGCCTCTGGGAGGTCGTCCTGCCCCGTCTCGCCCAGGCTCCATCCTGGCTTTGTAAAGTGCATCAGCCCAGAGCAGCACAGCTTCACGGTGGTTCAGAGATCAGTATTTGGTTTCTGCAGGGGCTTTAGCCGTTAATTGCCACCAGTATTAGGACCAATGCCTTAAATGAGCGTGTGAAGCCCTGGAGCACTGGCCTGTTGTGCTTGTAGTGGCCTGGGCCACAGAGATGGCAAGTCGCCCGCTGCACCATCATCTTCATCTGCAGCCTCAGAGACGGGTTACAGGGCTCCAGCCTGAGGGGCACCAGCCCCGCGCTAGCGGCTGGGTCCTCACGCAGAGGGAGGGAGGGGATTCCCAGCAAGGGGTGGGGGAACACGGTACCAGGTCATATGAGCTTGGGAAGGCATCGGACAAATGGCTTGCAGGAATCCAGCCGTCTGCCCTGGCTGGGAGGTGAAGGCCTCTCCCTCCTTTGGGCGCTACAAGGATTCAGCCTGTGGAGCTGCTTTCTGCCGTGGCAGGATGGCCCGTCCAGGCCGGTGTCATGCGTGTGCAACAGGCCTGCGCACCCCCAGACTGCACGAGGGGATGCCAGGTTGGGGACCCAGGCCTCTGGCTGAGCTCCCCTGGGTCCATCGCTGTCCCCACCCCCCTCTCTCCCCACTGCAGGGTTCTGGGTGTCCCTGAAGATGCTGTGGGGGGACCTGACGCAGGTGCGGAAGGACCATCCTCACCTGGTGGACCGCCACACGGTTGTGGCCCGCAAGCTGGGCTTCCCAGAGATCATCATGCCAGGTGAGCAGAGAAGGCAGCTTGGGCTGAGGCGGCAACGGTGACCCCAAGGCCCCTCTGCGCGTGGCCCCATCCTGCTTTGACACTTCATGGCACCTTGCTGGGATTCACTGCGCCAAGCTGGAGGCATTGCCTGCTGTCCGTCCCTGGCCTGACTCTGAGCGTCTACTGCTCGCGTCCTTCCAGTGCCGGGCTTCTAGGAGGGATAGCGGGTATGCACACACGTGTGTGTGCAAGTACGTGTGCGCGCATGTCTGTGTGTGAAAGTGCATGTGTGTGTGAAAGTGCATGCATGCATGTATGTGTGCAAGTGTGTGCCTGTGTGCATGCTTGTGCACATGTACATGTGTGTTTGAGCATGTGTGTGTGCATGCGCGTGTCTGCACATCTGTGTGCATGTGTGAAAGTGCACGTGTGTATGCAGGTGTGTGAAGTACACATGTGAAAGTGCACATGTGCGTGCGTGCATGAATGTATGCACGCATATGTATGCATGCATGTGTGTGCATATGTGTGAAAGTGTCTGTGCATGTGAGTGTGCATGTGTTTTACCAGCGGGCAGGCCGACTGCCCTTCCCTTCCCCTGCTCAGCTGGAGGCCGGTCTCCTCCGCAGCTGCCTGAGCAGGGCCCTGCCATGGGGCAGCGGCTGGGTCAGCTCAGGCCACAGCTCTGGCCCCAGGCAGGACCGCCTGGTCCCTGCTGCTGCCGGCCCTTCAGCCCCAGGGCCTGGGGGTTTAAGGCACTGGCGGTCCCTGGCTCTGAGGCCGCTCCACTTCCCATTTGAGATGTTCTGGTCCCACCGTTGAAGAGGTGCCGGGGGGGAGTGGGGACGCAGGCCACCCTTCCTGGTAGAGCCTGGTCTGGGGGTGTGAGATGAGTCCCCAGGCTGCACTGCAGCATGGAGGTGTCTGGTATCTGCTATTGCAGCAGGAAGGAATATTTTCCCCCGTTTGCAGCTCTATGCGTTGGGCGGGGGGTGTTTAAGTCCCCCCAGAGGCGCTGGGGCTGGGGATGGGCTGGGCCGATGCTCCTGCTGCACCAACCCCGCAGGGTCCTGGCGGGAGGGTCTCACCCCCATGCTGAGGCTCAGACTGGGCAGTCACATCAGTAGGTTAGATAAGGATTGTCTGGATGGTTGGGAGAGGCCGGATCCTGCCTCAGGCAGGGGGCTGGACTAGGTGACTTCCTGCATGAGTTTGTGCTTCAGGCATGAGTGAGGGGTGGGTGTAGGGACCATTGGGACCCCTCTCAGTCATGGCCCGAGAGCGGAGGAGTGGGGTGGCAATGCTGCGGTATTTCAAAACCAGGTGAATGCGGAAGGGGCTGATGCTGCTGGGCTGGGCTGGGCTGAGAGGGTAGGACCCAGGGGGCTTCTCGGCTCCAAGCCGGCTCCATGCACATGCGCGTGCTGGTCCTTCCCTGAACGGTTCGTTTGCAGCTGAAGGGAGAGCACAGGGGCTGCGAGGGCCGGAGGTGGCGGAGGCCCGGCCTCACTGGCTGTGCTGTGTGGTTCTCCCCAGGGGACGTCAGGAACGACATTTACCTCACGTTGGTGCAGGGCGAATTCGACAAGGGCAGTAAGAAGACCCAGAAGAACGTGGAGGTGACCATGTGCGTCTGCGACGAGGCCGGGGCCGTGATGCAGGTGAGGGTGCCCGGGGCTGTGGGGCTGGCAGGCATCGGGGCACGGGGACGGGAGGAACAGCTGGTGGATTAAACCTGACCGGGCAGCGGGGCTGAACTTGCCTTTGAACCCTGGTCACTTCCCTCAAGGATGCTTGCCTTTTCCAGAGTCTTGTACCATATTTTCTGGCATACAACCCACCCACAAATATAAAACACCTTCTTTTTGAGAGGTGTTACATTTTTCCCTGGCACCAAGCCTTGCCTGGGGGCAGCTCTGCCATGGTGGCCCCCCGTAGGAAGTCTCAGCCATCTCCTCTTCTCTCATATCTGGCTGGGGTGTCCTTAGCTGTTCATTTCTTACCAGACTCTGGAAAGAGACCTTCAAAATGGGCTTTGCCTTAAATGCTGCTTTATCCCCTGAGATTTCTCATCACATCCCCTTCTCCCCAGTTCTAGCAACAGGGCAGGACAGGCCCAAGCATCCACGCGGGCGTACCTGGTCGTTCCCTCTACACAAACCTTCTTACCCCCTTGGTGGGTCTCCCTCGACCCCCGGGAGCCAACCCCTTGGGTATCTCCATGGCCTACCAGCCTCCTTCCCCTTGTTCACCCACCTTTTCTCCTACATTAGCGCATCTGTGGCTCATCGTCACACTTGCTTCTGCCATCAGTAGCATTTTGACTCCTTGTGTGTGTGCGTGTCTCTCAAATCATGGGTTTCTGGAACTGCTGTGCTTGCACCTGATACCATAAACCACCCAAGACCTATTGTGTGATTACAGTGAGTTTCCTAATTCGTGCAGTCAGGCCGGTCAGGGTAGTCGGTGCAGGCTAGTACAGCCGTGGCAGTAACGCCGAGCTGGACAAGAGGTCGAGGCAGAGGAAGGAAAACCTGCTTGGTCTTGGCAGCGTCAAGCCCCTCTGTGCAGTGGGGACCCCAGCCTGGTCATGGGGTGGTGCTAGGGCAGCCCCTTGGCGTCTGTGCCGAACAGGGAAACTCTCTGCACATCTCAGAGTCCAGAAAACTGGGACGCGTCCTGTGAAAAGCCCAATATTAACCAACCACCCCTGCTGTCCTCCCCCCAGAACGTCATTTACCAGGGTGCAGGGGACAAGCCAGCGAGCGAGTATCGATCCGTGGTGTATTACCAGCAGCGGCATCAGCGGTGGATGGAGACAGTGAAGGTCTGTATGAGCTTTCCCATGAGCTGGCAGTGTCGGGGATGGGACCATGCAGCACTAGGCCCCCGCAAACGGGCTGAGTTTCTGGGTCCCCTGGGAGAGACCAGTGCTGGCTGAACTCTGCTGGTCTCCTCCAGACCAGCCTGTAGCATGGGCTGAGCTGGAGTCCATCTCCGGCCTTTCCGTATCAGTCTGCTCTGTACTCCTGGACGAGCGCCCAGCACTGCCTTCGCTCCTTTCGGCCTCGTGGGGTGAGAGAGAAGCTGGGCTCACAGGGTCTAGGGACTCAGGCTTGCCTGCGACTTGTGGAGGGAGCCCCTGGGTCATGGGAGGCGCACATGTACACAGATGTACAGATGCATACACACTCATGTTCATGTATGCATACATGTGCCTATACGAGCATGAATGCACAAGCACACGCATGCAGATGCGTGCCCAGGTGCACATGCACACAGGCAGAGCTGCACACGCATGGGCACATGTGCAGGCAGACATGCTTGCACACTTACATGTCCAGGCCAACACATTTCACCGTCTGGGCAGCTTCCTCCCTGGCTCGCTGCCTGCCTTTACGCTCCTGTAGGCAGGCCGCTCGCCCTGCTCCCTCCTCCGGGCCGGTCGCACCTGCTCTCTGTTGGCTAACGCACCGTCTTCTCTCCAAGATTGCCGTCCCCATTGAGGATGTCCACAGGACCCACCTGAGATTTACCTTCAGGCACCGCTCCTCCAGCGACTGTAAGTCTCCCTTGCTTTTACCCAGCTCTGCTGAGGACACAGGCCAGGGCGGAGGCCTCTCTCCTGCGCGAGGCTGCAGAGCTGAAAAACCAGTGTGTAGGGACAGGGCGCGGCGTTGCCACGTTGTTCTGGTCAGGGCAGTTTCCAGGGCTTGCCACAGAGATGGGAATTGCACAGACGTAGCACATGATAGAGGCAGAGGGCATAGAAATCATAGATGTCCCGGAGCTGCGGGGTTGCATCCAGTTGAAGCCCTGCCTGAAGCAGGATCAGCCCCATCCAAACCAGCCCAGACAAACCCCGTGTCTGACCTTGGAGTCGCACGACACAGTCACCCCTGACATCCCTGGGCATTGCCCCTGCCCCTGCTCCCAGGATACAGGGGGGCTGCAGCCATCTCCTTGCTGCTGCCGGGGGGTCATGGACACTGCAGAGTCCAGACCCAGGCCGTGCCCCCTCTGCCTCCCCTGACCAGAATCTCCCAGGCTCCGGGTGGACGTGAGACCCCTCTTGGCCCGGCCACCAGCTGCCACGTGCTAATAAGAGCAGGGTAAAACCTGCCACTTCCTGCACTGGGACGATGCCCCCGCGGCAAGGCAGCGCAGAGTCCTGTCCGCGCTCGTGGGCTGAGCCCAGGACTGACCTCTGGCTCTGGGGTTTTGTCTTCTAGCTAAGGACAAAAGCGAGAGGGTTTTCTCCATGGCCTTTGTGAAGCTGATGAGACCCGACGGCACAACCCTGCATGATGGGGAGCACGACCTCATCCTGTACAAGGTACCGGT